TCTCTCTCTCTCTCTCTCTCCTGATAGCTCTCTTTCTACATTTTGATGCTTTATCTTTCAGGTTTCGGAACAAAAGCAGGTAGATGGTGTGAAGAAAAGAAGGTTGTTGTTGCTGACTGAAGTCAAGCTGAAGATCACAATGCCGGAAATACCCAAGTTTGAGATGCCAAGCATGCCTTGGGTGTGTGACTTTCTTGAGAGCAAGGAGAAGGAAAAGAAGAAGGGAGAGGGAGGAAGAGGGAGGAAGAGGGAGGAGGGTTTGACAAGTAGACTCACAGGGGTCAGAAAAGAAGGAGATCGACGGAGGAGCTTCTCCTGCCCCACCAGGTCTCCTCCTGCCTCCTCCCCTTCCCTCCTCCTCCGCCTCCTGCTTCTCCTTCCCTGTCCCTGCCTCCTTTTCCTCCCCTCCTCTTTCTTCTCCTCCCCTGTCCCTTCCTGCGTCTCCTTCTTTCCTCCATAAAGAGTCATATACTTTCCGCTGAAGTTGAACCAATTCAGGCTCGGAGCATGCGACGTTTGAGCTGCCGCACATGCCATGGGTAAAAACCTTGTGTGGCAGGAGGAGGGGGAGGATAAGACCTGAATGGCAGGACAAGCACAAGGAGGAGGAGAAAGTTGAGATAGGTAACTTGGTGAGAGCTCTTCCTCACAGTAACCTGATTGCTGCTATCCAGGCCTCTCCCTGCCCAAGCTTGAGTTGCCCAACATGCCATGGGTCGATCATGCTTGCGGTGCCGCCTCGTCTGACTTGTTCTTGTCCTGCTCAGGACAACCAGCAAGAAGAGAGCAGGCGACAGACTGGCGTCACGAGTCTCCGATCATGTTGGTGAAAGGAAAGAAGAGGAGGAGGAGGAGGAGGAAAGGGAGTGAGGGAGGGAGTGGAAGAGAAAGCAAAAAAAGAGAGGAGGAGGACGAAGAGGATTTCCAGGTGAAGATATACAAGAGATGGAGGGCCGCTTCTCTTCTCATACTGGTAGTTATACTCGCAGTCATGCAGCAGTGTCAGGGTGTGAATTAAAACTTTGAAATCTCTTTGTCTCGCAATTTGAGTCTTCGATCTTGAAAAAAACCTTCCTTTACTCCCTCCTCTCCCTCCTCTCCCTCCTCTCCCTCCTCTCCTTTCCTCTAACTTCCCCTAGCTTCTCTCTTTTCCCTCTGTTTTCTCTCTCCCTCTTCTCAACTCTCAGCGTTCACTTGTCTTCTCCGACCTTTCTTTCCTAGTCTCTCATGTTTTCCTCTAGTGCAGCCGTCCAAAGCCTTATCTCGACCTTTGAGCATTCACACTCAAATCAAATCATTTCTTTCTGCAACGTCGGACGTGACGAAAATCTGTACAAGTTCGTCATCTTGTGTGCCGTTGTATGTCTGGGGAATAACGGAAAGGCTTGATACTTGGTCACACCTCCTGAATCGTCAAACTTTCTTCTCTGATGACAATCCTCCTCCTCCTCCTCCTCCTCCTACATCTCACTTCGTGCTTCTTGTACCGTGTCGTTCCTCCTTCATACAACCCGCGTACAACATACATCATTTATTCACCTTCCAATCCCCCCAGCCTCTTCCTCAAGTTGAGATTTTCCAACGTCAACACTCGAATTTCCGAAAGGAGGACGGGCAGGTCGAAACTCCGCCCGTCTTTCGTCCTAAGGCTTATTTCCTCATCCGCTTTCTCCTTCCTCCTCCGAAGCTCCTCCCTCTCTCGCTCCATCCTCCTCCACTCTTGCTCCAGCTCATTAGACCTGTCCTCGTGCTCTCGGATGAATCGATCCCTCAGGTCGAACTCTTGGACGAACCTCGTCGCAATCACAAAGTTGTCGAAGCATTTTGCAAGCTTCCTGTTCATAAGCCTCTTCACAAACCTCCTCATCAGAATCAGATCGTAGGTCAGCTCGCTCCAGGACGAGAACGCAGCGTTCTCTCTGCTCGACATCCATTTCATGATGAAGTGCCGGTACTGCGCCCTCTCCTCTCCTGGAGGGAACCTTGCTTCCGACTCCATCTGACGATACGCCACATTCAGCTTCCACGTCAGCTCCGACACGCTTGACTTGGCATCGTACAGCTCCGAGCTCAGCGACTCCGTTCGCCTGATGAAGTCTTGCTTCTGCATGCTCACAGAGACCTGATTCCGGTAGTTCACCTGCTCTGCCTCCGACAGCTGCTGCTGCAACGAAGCCACCTTCGCCTCAAGCTGCTCCACCTGGGCCCTTGCAACGTCCCGCTCCCTGATCGCCTTCACGGCTGCTACCAGCAACCTGGACGAGTCATGGAGGGGCTCATCTCGGGAAAACTCTTGATGAGACTCCATTACCCACTCACTGTGCTTCACCTCCACCGGAGACACCGACGGGGTCCTTTCAGGACTGACGCTCTCCAGCTCTCGACTCTGCTCCTCCCGAGCTGACGCCTTGCTGTACCCGCAGGAGTCCAAGGAAGAGTTCTCAGAAACAGGAGGCGGCAACGAATCCTTGGGGCTCTGTATGACAGGGCTCTGATGAGTACTCCCCCCCCGCGAGCCTTTCGGTGGGTTTGAAGAACCATATCTGATCCCCCCAACCATCAGGCCTCCGTTGGCTCCTGACGACTCTGCCCACTCCCTCCTCATCCTCTGCTGATGAATCACCTTATCGCTCATGGGCATGCTAGGGAAGAAGCTGCGCTCCTGTCCTTGCTGACCTCCTTCTCCTTCATTTGGAGCTCGGGGAGTCCTGGAGGCCACATTGGAGACATGCATCGCTGGTTTCGGGTTTGAGGGAGGTCGGCACAGCAGGACTGTTGTCGGTACAGTCTGTACTGCTGAGGGTTTGCTGGGCCCCGTTGCCGGCTTGCTATCAATCTTGGCGTCCTCGCTTGCGATCTTTGCCTGCTCTTGTTTCGGAGGGACAATCAACGGTACGGCGAGGTTGTTGATGTTGCAATGAAGCTCTGTCTTCTTCCTCCCTTGCACAGCAGACGTTGGGCGTGGCCCGGAAGCAAGTTTCAGGAGGAGAGACCCATGCCTCGATATGTGAGACGACGCTGTTTGCGGTCGCTTGCTTTCATTCCTGGGGCGTTTCGATGCAGCTTGATTCGGATTCAAGGTTTGCAAGCTCTTTTGGATGCCGTCCTGCTCTTGCTTCTCATGCAGCATCACATTCCTCAGAGCATCTATCTTCACAGTCCCGTTCTCGTCCGCTGAACGAGCCAGCAAGGCATAGAAGTCATCCATGACTTAAAGTTCATGCAACCATGTTTGTGATCTCAAGACCAGGACTGTCAGACAAGTTCACTTCACCTCCTTCTGTTCTAGGAGCTCCTGGATCACTTCACCTCCCTTGTCTTCTCCTCTCCCTCCCTTCTACTTCGCTCTCGCCCCCCCCCCCCTCCCTTCATCTTTCTTTCCGCCCATGGGGGTTTTTCACTTCGAAGTCACATTTTCAACGGAAACGCAACGTGCTACAGAAATCTCATCTGATATCCTGCGAACCTTATTTAAAATACAGTTCGTGACTAGGTCCATTTTTGTATTGCAGGGGTAGGATAAGTCTAAGGGTGGGGTGGGGTACTGGGGTAGTGGTGTGTTTTTTTTTTCGGAGAAATTGGGGGTCCGACCAGAAGTGTACACACAGCATGAAGTAGGGGTGGTATAAGAATGAAATGTTGAGGTAGGTAGGGGTTCCTTTTTTTATGCAGTCATTGAGGGGGTGGTTACCACCCCTCCATTTGTCTCACTTTCTGTTCGCCGAGGATGGTACCTCCCGTGGCTACTGTACCCCTACCCCTCCCTCGTACACACACCTGTTTCCTAGTGGTCGTATTTCATTTCCTACCCCACCCCATAACGGATTCAGTACCCCACCCCATGGGGATCTGTGCGAGAAAGGATATCCCCCTTATGCCCCCAGACGCCTCAATGTTGGGGAATCTTGGAATGGAGGGGGTAGGGTGATTTCAGGAGGGATCATTATGTCCAGTTTTGTGGATAGGGGCAGGGTGAATTTCCTGATAAATGTGCTATGGGAGGGGGTAGGGTGATCGAATGAGCGATCACTGAAGTTAATAGGGGTCATCAACATCATGGGGAGGGGGATCTTGAAATTATGTAAAGTAGCCCAATGATGGGGAAATGGTGGGGTACTTCTGAGGAAAATCAGGGGTGAGGGGTGCTAGTGACAAAATCAGGGGTAGTTGAAATTGGTTTGGAAGGGGTGGGGTGATCACGAAGGTACTGACCGTGAAACCGAAATTATGAGGGATGGGGAAGAGGGCGAGGACGAAGGGGGCGAGGAGGGCGAGGACGAAGAGGAGGAAGAGATGAGAGGAGGAGGGGAAAGGGAGGGACATGAGAAGAAGAAGGGAAGAAACAGAGAAAGAGCTCCACTGGTGAAGGGTCAGATTCGTTGAGAGTGACAAAGGAAAGAGACACTTGGTCGACAGGAGCGTCAGGATAACGCTAGCAGGTAATGGGCATGGTGAGGGCGAGACATGATCAGGATCAGGATCAAGATCAGGGTCAGGAGCATCGGGTAAGCAGTAGCGGCAGCACCAGGATTCGAGCCGATAAAGCACTCGATGGAGTTCTGTAAGGAGGTCAGTCGTACGATTATGAAAACCTGCAACACGGGAGGAAAGTGCCTTGCTGTAATCCCTTGCGAAGGACAAGGATAATGAATGAGACCATGGGGATGCAGAGGATGGCGGAGTTAATGATTAATTTCGTGCGTTGCAGCAGCTATGGATTTACGATCAAGATAAGACGAAAGGTTTGCCATGCTCAAATCACAGAAGTCTATTTCCCACAACACCATCTCCAAGATCCTGAATTGGTCTTCTCTGAACTCGAGAAAAGTTCTGCCGGAGAGGTTTGGATCGTCTATCTCTCTTAAGGATGACAAGTACTTTGAGGTTGGGTCGACGAGACTGTAAGTTGAACCTGGTGGTTGATTTGCAGTGACTTGACTACTTGCTTATGGAAGGCCAAAGCGCGTGGTTGAGGCTCTTTACATTAGTCTCGAACGAGCTCGACAGAAGATAAAGCTGAAAAGGAAGCAATCAAGAAGGAAATACATCTTCCTGCCTGATGGAAAATTCCGAGTATGGTTTCGGATTTTGGTCGTTTCATAACAAATGATCTGTTGCAAACAGGTGTTCTGGGATATTGTAACAATGACGCTGCTGATATACACGCTGTTCGAAATCCCCTTGCACCTTGCGTTCTTGACTGATGACAGCAACTGTGCCCTGAATGCTCTGGATTCTTGCAACCTGGCAGTAGACCTGATCTTCTGTACAGACATGTTCGTCTCGTTCAACACTGCTTACTTGATAGCTCCCAAAGGAGAGGAAGAGTTGGTAGATGACCATGGCATGATTGCTAAGCGTTACGTACAGTCTTGGTTCCTGGTCGATTTGCTGTCATCGATCCCTTTCGATAGGTTACTGTGCTTGATCCTTGACGGACAGCAAAATCTGTCGTTTGTTCGGACGCTCAAGACTGTTCGTTTCATCAAGCTTGCAAGGTTGCTGAGGTTCATGAGAGTGCTGAAGAAGTGGGAGGGACTTAGTGCAAGTCCATCGCTGAGCAACTTCCTCCGCCTGTTTAAACTGATCATCGGACTGCTGATGTGTGCGCATATCATGGGCTGCTTCTGGAAGATTACTATTGAGGTCGCTGACTGTGGAAGGTGGGAGAATCCGGATGAAGCTGAGCTTCAGGGTTACCCGGTAAGCTACGGATGCCAATGCGCTTACTCCTCCCATGCTGAGCTTGAGGCGATCGGTTTGATCTGTCTGCCGGTCAACTGGATGTACAAGTACGACCGTGAATTGTACCTCGACGGATCAGTTGCTTCTCAGTACCTGGTCTCAGTGTACTTCACCATCATCGGCCTGGCCACGGTTGGGTTTGGGGACATAACCCCCGCTAACGACTACGAGAGGCTGTTCTCTACGCTCTTGACTCTGTTTGGAGCCGTTATCTTCGCCTTTGTCATTGGAAGCATCGGGGAGATTGCGCAGCAGGGAAACCAAATGGACGCGGAGCTGAGGAACTCCCTCCATGCTCTCAGCGACTTCATGCAGTACAAGAATGTGCCTCTTTGGCTGCAGAAACGGGTCAAACGTCACCTGTCGTACTCGTCCGCTCGATCTCCCCAGATCTACACGCACGACCTTCTGCACATGCTCCCAAGACATCTGCGGAACTCCATCATGCAGCACATGTATGAGAACAGTGCCTGGATGATCCCCTTCTTCAACAACATGGACCCGGAGCTCCGAACTCACATGTTCATGCTCCTCCGACCTGTCCTGCTGCTGGAGGCCGAGTATCTCTACCACGCCCTCGATGTAGGCGAGGAGATGTACTTTGTCATTGAGGGCGAAGCTCAGGCGATACAGGCGCGAATGAAGGGAACAGAGAAGGTGATCGATACCTTCGTGCGGGGAGATTGCATCGGAGAGTCGGCGATCCTGCAAGAACACCCTGTGTTCCGCATGACGTCAGTGATTGCGACGAAGAAGACTGAGCTGTTGGAGCTAAGGAAGGAGGATGTCCTCAAGATCATCAAGCCGCTCTACCCCGACATCTACATCAGCCTGACCGAGCTGTCCAAGGCGAGGCTGCTCAAGGAGCAGGCCTTCGACGTGCAGGTACAGATGAGGGCGAGGTCGTTGAAGAGATGCGCGGACCCCCGGCTGAAGAAGGATACAATTATCTGTGCCAACTTCCTGGAATCGAACTCGGAGGAGGCGAGGGAGGAGGAGAGGACTCACAGGAACTTACTCAGGAGCGCGTCTGGCAGGGTGTCGCCTCCTTCACCTCTCAAGAAGCGCTCTTCAGTCCTCAAACCTCTGGATGGTTGCAACGGGCTCATCATACCAGAGCAGGAGGAGGCGTCTCTGCATTCCAGCGCCAAGTTGTCTTCTCCTTATTTCGCACCTTCAGACGTCTCGGCTGCTCTCAAGGAAATATCCCACAAACTCGAGAAGCTACAGGTGACGTGATTTAGAACCTCCTCCTCTCCTTTCCTCCTCTCCTCCTTCCTCCCCTATTGCTGGTCGTTCGTCATCACGATCCTGTGCTGCTTTTGTTGTCAACCCTCTTGCTTTTCTCTCCTTGCAACTTCTCTGCCTTGCTCTCTCCAATGTTCAGTCTTGTCACCTCCTCCCACATTCATACTCCGTTTTAATGCTCCTTCCCATTCTTCGCGACATTCTACTGCTCACTCAGCTATCACGCCTATCACGTCTCGTGCTGTTGTGTACAATGTCACTGTTCCAACAGTGTCGAGTCCATCATCGCATGTTGTTGTGTGTGACTCGAGCTTTCTTCAACACACCTTTCCTTTGCATCTCTACTTGATATCTCTATCCTCTGCTGTTACACCTCCTTCTCATACGTCGTCATCGTCTGACCCTTTGGTTTCCTCTCCCAAACAGGCCTCCGTCGATTCCTCCACTCTGCCAACTGAAGTCCTCAAGTATTACTCCTTCTGAAGGGTCCTTGCCTTGTACCAAATTGCATCGTCCATTTATTTTCATCTTGTACATGTTCATCGTCAACTAATGAATGAAAGTTGAATGTTGTAACACATTGTCGACATCTACATCTTCACATTTTTGTTGGGGACATGTATTCGCCGTACAACCATTCATCGCGCGTTGGAAAGTGAACAAGTATGAGCGACATCTTATTCCGATGGTTTGTTCCGTCTTTGCCATCCCCAGCACCTTTGAACAAAGTCATGTCAACACCTTCCTCCTCCTCCCTCCTCCTCCCTCCTCCTGATCATCATCATCATCATCATCATCATCATCATCATCATCATCATCATCTCCATCTCCATCTCCATCTCCATCGTCGTCGTCGTCGTCGTCGTCGTCGTCGTCATCATCATCATCATCATCATCAACAACAACAACAACAACAACAACAACAACAACTATCCTCATCATTATCATTATCATCATCATCCATCATCATCACCACTCTCCATCTCCATCATCATCATCTCCATCATCATCATCATCTCCATCATCATCATCATCTCCATCATCATCATCATCTCCATCATCATCATCATCATCATCATCATCATCATCTCCATCATCATCATCATCTCCATCATCATCTCCATCATCACTGACACTTTCATCACCAGTATTACATGCTCAGCAGAACATCGCAACAACAAAAAACAGTCAGATCACAGCAGACAAATAGCACATTAGAAAGCAAAGGCCTTGACATCAGCCGAAATCGACATCCACAACAAGCACATCTCCCATCGACTCTCATCTCACCATCAGTCTTGCGTACTCTCGTTGCCTCACTCCACGACTTTTCAACAGACTTCCATGCGAAGATCTCCCCGAGCTCATGATCGCTCTCTTCCACCACCTCAGCTCTCCTCCTCCCTTCCTCCTCCCTTCTCCTCCCCTCCTCCTCCTCCCTCCTTTGCTTCAGCGTCCTTGCCCGTGTCACCATTTTCTCGAAGTGCTTCAACTCCTCCGTCCCCTTCAGACGTCGGTTGCAAACTCTCCCCTCTCATCCCGACAGATCGGCTGCTCTGCTCCTCCCTCGGGCCTGTGGCACCCGACCCTCTCCTCTCCCTCATACCACGCGACTTTCCTCTTGTCATGGCACTCCTCATACCTCTGCCTCACAGCAGCATACACCGCCTTGCTCCGCTCCATGTTGTATACCCCGCTGCTGTGCTGATGCTTCCACTGCCCCTGATCAGGCCTCCTGTACGTCCTGTCTGCGATGTTGGTCGTCCCTGTGGGCTTGTCCAACATCGTCGTGAAGTCTGGACAGGTCACATCCTGCATCTTGCTGTGATTCCAGTTCTTGGAGGACATGAACGATGGGCCGACGGTGCGGTGTCTGCTGATGGAAAAATTGCCGTATGTGATCTCCTGCATTTCCCTGAGCCTTCGAAGTTCGAATTCAGTGAAGGATCTATCTCTGATTGGCGACATCTGCAAGCAACAAGAGAACGTAAGTCGAGAAAACGAAATGATCCTCCTCTTTCATAATCCTTCCAACTATATGCTGCCGAATAATCACCCTGTCTTTGATATTCATCTTCGCATCTCCATCAACATGTTTCTTCTGCTAATGCATCCTTCACACAATCATAGCCTCTGATTTCATTTCTTCTTCTTTCCTGCCCCTCCTCCTCCTCCTCCTCCTCCTCTTCCTCCTCTTCTCTCCCTTATCGCCCTCGATCCTCACTCTATCGGAGACCTTTTGGGTACGAGCAA